TCCCCGTTCCCCGTGGTGTCCCAACGGACTCCGTTTAACGTGCCTATGTCTAGTTTGATGTTTCGGGTACCGTTCGTAGGTTTATGAGTCTATTATATTGCATGCTAGTTGAATTGGTATCCCGTTGACCTAGGTGGAAGAAGTATGAACCCCTTAGGACTATTCTTAGTAAGTGATGGATCACACATAGGTTTTGTTATACGTTTTCTCCCCCTTCCTAATGTGTAATGTGGGTTGCATGTACTTGCTATGTGTTATGTGTGTGTTACCCCAATTCGGTTGCGATCGGATTGGTTATCCTGAGCTGCGGTTCAGAAGCTGGCTGCGGTCAGATTGATACTCTTGGGCTGCGGTCCACCGTTTGGTTGCGATCAAACGTTTCTATACGAGCTGCGGTTCGTCCTTTTTCCTGGCTGCGGTCAGATGACATTCTCTTGGGCTGCGGTCCACCGTTTGGTTGCGATCAAACGTTTCTATACGAGCTGCGGTTCGTCCTTTTTCCTGGCTGCGGTCAGATGACATTCTCTTGGGCTGCGGTCCACTGTTTGGTTGCGATCAAACACTATGATGAGCTGCGGTTCATCGGTCGGTTGCGATCGACCCCTCCGTGTTGCGATACGGGGCAGGGTGCTGCGGGGCCGTGTCAGAGCTATATGCGCTGACCCTCATGTATGAGCATGCGATTGGTCCTGTGGCGCCAACAAAGTGTGTTATGTGTTGTGACCTGGACGAGTTGTGATTACGAGTGTCTTGGGGGATGTGACTAAGGGATTTATATTGGGGATTGTTCATGTTGGGTTATGATCATTGTTATGCTTTGCCTTATCTGCCTTATCTATTGTGAACTGCATATGCTCGTTATAACTGTGCTTGTGTTTAGCCTTATCTGTCAAGTCATTCCTGGTTTTAAAGCTAGTGTTCGTAGGATATATCTTCATGCTCAAAATGGTTTTCGTATATCTATATATATCTCTATATGTATTGTATTTCAACGCGTTGGAGTGGGTTACCAGCATCTCTCGCTGAACAGATATATTTGGCTTTCAGGCACAGAAGATTAAGTCACTGGAGTGCGCTAGAACTTAGAAGTAGATAGTTTCCCTTTTGGCCTGCGTGCCACGTTTACGTATTTACGCTTTGAGGATATTAGTTAGTTAGCCTGTGCACTTGGGTTCTCTAGCCCAGGTGTGGCATAGCACCCCGAACGCTTGTATTTATATCTTGGGATTTAATAAGATTCTACCTTTATTATAAGTTTTAAATGTCTTGAAAATCTGGGGTGTTACAGGAACTCCCTTCAAAGCTCAAGGTACAACATGACTTTGAAGTTGACTAGTCAAATACTAGTCCTTAAGTATTAAAAATCAGGATTTTAGGAATTAATTCCTCAATTAAAATAGGATTAATTACTCAATTAATCCATGGATTGAATGTGGATTTTTGGGGTGTCACACCGAGGATCCGGGAGCAGTGGACACCACCACCAACGGGTTCATTGAAGTGCAATGTAGACGCAGCCATATTCGAGGATGGAGCTGGCTTCGGCCTGGTTGTACGCGACCATGTTGGTTGCTTCGTTGCGGCAAAGAAAGGGCAGCTGGACGCCGAGCGTGATCCATTTGTGGCCGAAGCTCTTGCGGCCAAAGAAGCGCTAACTTGGTTGAAGGAGCAAAACCTGGATAACATCATCCTAGAATCTGATTGTTTAAATTTCTGTAATGCTTTTAATTCTCAGTCTGTTGATTTTTCTTATGTTGGTCTTATTGTGAAGCAATGTCGAGTGATTGCTAGTGACATAGGGACTGTGTGTGTATCCCATGTCAGGAGATCAGCGAATCGTGTAGCTCACGAATTAGCTCGGGCGACCGGTTCTTTAGCTAGCTCGGAGGTGTGGTTTCAGATCCCACCTAGTTGTATTTCTGATTTATTACGTTTTTAATGAAGTGTTTTTGGCTTACTTTCAAAAAAACTTATGATAACTATCTATTGACTTTTTGATTACCTCATCATCGTCTTTTACCGTCACAAGACATGTTTCACTCGTAACTCAAACACATTTTTAAAGAATAAGATTCAAATTGACTTTTGGTCATTGAACGTAAGAGTAAATATCAATTTTGGTCTTACGAGTATTAACAAAATGATAGTTTTAGTTTACATGTTTAATTCCTACCAATTTTCATTCACGACTATTATTTTAGTACCAATTTTCATCCACAACTATTATTTTAGTGTCAAAATTCATCATGCTAGTCATCCCTTCGTTTAAGACATGCCAAAATATGAAATTATTAAAGGTAGTTTTGTGCTTTTCAAATTAGGATCCCTATTTGAGCATAAATAAAAGAATTTAAGCCTTAAGATCTATCCCAATTCGCAATTTTCCTCCTCAAATTAAGGTAGGATGAGAAGGAGAACTGTGGATTGGGATCATCTTAGGCCTTAAATTCATTTATTTATGCTCAAATTGGAATCTTAAGTTGAAAATGACAACATTATTGGTACGTTTGGTACCAACAATTGAGGATCCAAGAGTGATGGGGACGAAGAGCATACACAAGTACAACATTCTGGAAATTCAAATAATAGATTGCAGAAGTGGTCCTGGTTGTCCTTCTATCAGACGTTTAATAATGTTGGATGCTTTGTTTCAATTCATTCTTGCTTTTTTACGCATCATCATCATGCCTGTTTAAATAGTACGTTCTTTAGTTTCAACCTTAAACTACAGAGTACTTATCCATGGAAGCTGGAAGACTTGATTAGGCTCTGATACAAAATGGTATCAGAGCGGAGCTTAGGTTGCAGAATCTTGGGCATAGAAAATAGAATTTATTATGCTCTAATATAAAGTGGTATCAGAGTTTAAGTTTTAAAATCTTTGGAATAGAAAATAAAATTGATTAGGCTCTGATACAAGATGGTATCAGAGCTTAGGTTGCGCAAATCTATTATTATTTTATTATTATTATTATTATTATTATTATTATTATTACAAGTATTTGTACCCGTGCGATGCACGGCCAAAAATAATAATAATAACATAATTAAACAATATGACATAATAATAACAAAATAAAAAAAAAAATTATAGAGCAAATTATTAAATAACAATTAACATTATTGAAAACTTTTTGTATACGGTATTTTTAGTCGCACTCACGGATTATCCATTATCCTCACAAATTAAAATTTTTAATCCTCTTAGATTATTTATTCTTGAAAGTGCTACGTATTTGACCATGATTAAAGATATACTTTTTCAAAAACAAATCCATGTGCCATATAGAAAAAATGCTAAATATAGTATAAAAATTATATTAATTTAATTCAAGAAATTTAATACAATAATGTTAAATACAGTATAAAAATATATGAATTTAATTCATATTATTTTTCAATTTAGACAGTTAACAGATAATTTAAACAAATATTAATTTTTTTTTAAAATTTTATATACAAAAGAATGCTAAACCCAAGGGTGAATTATAAATTTGTTTTAAATTTTCGTAACACAAATTATACTAAAGTGCGACGTACTACTATTCTCTATATATTTTAATAAAATTTAAAAATATGATACATATAATTAAGATTAATTAATAGCAAATTTCTATTTAGGATATATATATAGCTGTATAATCTACCTCCATATTAATACAAAATATATATAAATGAAATTAAAATTCATTAACATGGTCAACAATATCTAATGTTGGAACTAATATAGCTAGATGAAAACTCAAACGCTCAATCGAAGGATCCCTAAATTGTATATCAAATGGGTGAAATATACCTGCAATTACTGATGTCCATACGCTCAGGGGAATAAATTGACTATGTTTGAATGTTTTTTCATTGACTATGTTTGAATGTTTTTTCATTTTCTGAGCAAAGAAATACATAATGTGTAAGAAGTAAAATGATGAGTAATGCTTTAACTATTTATATAAATTAATAAATATTAGAAGGCCAAAATTTACACAAAATATGAACAATATTGACCAAATGCATAGAAAATAATATATGTATTTATATATTAATATTTTATTTATATATATATATATATATATATATATATATATATATATATATATAATTATAATCCACCTACACGTGGAGCAATTAAAATGATTTTTTAAAAAAGTCTAGAACAAATCGTCTAGACATTTTAGATTGTTTATCTATCTGTCTACGGCTATCTGATGCTCAAATCTTCTCCGCTCAATTCCTTTCATCGTCTTCATCATTCATCCTTGTTCTTTCGCTTCTACATCTTAGCTCGTCTGCTCTCTATCTTGCCATCTCGATTACAAAGGTATGTATTTGGACTCTTTGTCTTCTACACCTCTGTTGTTAATTTTATTTGTAATTCATGCAATTTAAAGTTTTCTTGTTATTAATTTGTGTAGTTTGAAGATTAATAAGAGCAATTCGTATATGAATTTAGAAAGGAAATTAACTAAAAATTGTCTTAATCTACAATCTAGGGTTTTTTATTCCAGTAATTCAGATGCATGTTTTTGTTCTTATAATTAGGCTAATGATATATACTTTAGTTTAATTTGTATCCATTACTAACTTTTTATTTCCAGAAAATGGCATGTGATGAAAATTAATCTGATGCCCATGTCTACTTAAATGGCAGTGCTACAAATCAATGTCGTTAGAAGCTTTGTGTTGGGGTAGCTTTTTTTTTTTTTTTTTTTTCAGTAATGAATGTAATTTTTTTTTTTTTTGTCATTTGTAGTATTTTTTGTATGAGTATTTAATGAATAGATGCCAAAAGCATTCTAAAATTTGAATTCATTGTGTACCTAATGAATGGACGGATAGTTTTGATTTCAAATCCAAATGTATTTATTCTTTAAAATTCTAAACTGTTATTTGAATGAAGGATTATTTCTTTTCTTTTTTTTTTAATGTTTCTCTCCATACTTTATTCAGGGCATTGATTTGAATAACCATGTCAAAATAGTTCTTTGGCAAACAATTTTTTGCAACATTTATGTTCTAAGCCTAAGTAATAGTTTAGTATTTAGTTTAGTGTCTGTTTAAAATGTTAAATAACCTCTAAGAATGTTGAATGAGATTCCAGTCAGAGTTATGTAAAGGAAGACATAGGCTTCCAAGGTAATTTATTTTCACTTTAGTATTGAAATTTTAGAAATTGTCATGAGTTAAGTATTTTTAACTCAATTTGTTTAGGTAAATTTGTTTGTAGGACATGATCAGGTTAAGACACAGGCTTCAAAGGTAATTTTTTTGACAGAATTATTAAAAGTTTTACAATTAAACTCAGTTAAGTATTTTACAAATTAAATTTGTGTTCTCTAATTTGTTTGCAGGCCATCACTAAATGAAGACTCTACATTCCAAGGTAATTTTTGTAAATACATATTGAATTATTGTTGCAAATGAACTTTGCACTATTTAAAGATCAATTTTTGGAAGTTCATTTCTTTGTAGGACCCAATTGGATGAAGACATACACTTAAAAGCTAAGTTTTTCCACTTAATTACTGGGTTTATTGAAATTAAAATCAATTTAGTATTATTAGCTAATTAAAAACTTAATTACTGGGTTTATTGAAATTAAAATCAATTTAGTATTATTAGCTAATTTTGTTTAATTGAATTTCTTTGTAGGACATAAGTGGGTGATCATTTCAAACTTCAAATCATTAGCTAATTTTGTTTAAATTTCAAATCATTTCAGTATTTGTATCTAAATTTTGTTAATTTAATTTGTTTGTAGGCCATGACTGGATAAAGACACAGGTTTTAGTGGTAATTTTTCTCACTCGAGAGTTTCAAATATTTCATTTGAATAAAAATCAATGAAATATTTCTAACAAAATTTGGTGACTTCAATTTTTTTGTAGGTCATGACTGGATTTAGACAACAGCTATAAAGGTAATGTTTTTCACTTGATTATGCTCTAATATAAAGTGGTATCAGAGTTTAAGTTGTAAAATCTTTGGCATAGAAAATAAAATTGATTAGGCTCTGATACAAGATGGTATCAGAGCTTAGGTTGCGCCAATCTATTATTATTATTATTATTATTATTATTATTATTATTATTATTATTATTATTATTATTTGTGAGATCATATTCAAAAAGTGTGAAAATACCATTCGAAGTCAAATCCTCGATCTATTATTATTATTATTATTATTATTATTATTATTATTATTATTAATGAAGAAAAAACCGCGGTACGACAATTGTAGTTTAAGGTTCACAATTTAAATAAACAGGCATTGATGAATGAATTGAAGCAAAGAAACGTCTGATCGAATGAATTGAGTTTCAAGGATGTACCTCTACAAACTTGCCGGTTGCCGGACCGCCTCCCACCGCCGTCATCGAGAAAAAGTAGTGGAAGTGTTTTGTGTTAGGTTTTAGTGGCCGCAAGGAATGTCGCAGCCAGTAAGAGAATTCCTTCTAGATTTAGAGTTAGATTTTAGTGGCCGCAAGGAATGTCGTATTGAGTAGGAGAATTCATTCTCGCTTAAATCATTTTAATGGGCTAGCCAAAGCTTAATCCGCGTTTATTTATGTTTAATATTTGATTATTTATGTTTAATATTTGATTTTAATGGGCTGGCCAAAGCTTAATCCGCGTTTATTTATGTTTAATATTTGAGAAAAATGTATAAATAGGTTATCGAACTATTTGAAAAATAACAATTAGACCACTGAACTCGAAAAAGTTCCAAATTAATTTACGAATTCGGGAAAATGTTGCAATTAACGTTATTAGCAGGTTATCATCAGGTTTTTGTTGATTAAATTGTCATGTGTAATTATGTTTTACTAGTATTTTCACCCGCGCATTGCACGAAATAGATTTGCTATAATATTTTAAGAATATTTGGATTGATATACAATTATATAAATTATAACCATGAATATTATATAGTGCAATTGATGAAATGAGTTGGATATATTATGTTTTCTGATATTATCCTTGCTTTTCGATTTATACAATTTATACAATTAATATTTATAAACTTAGTTGACAAATAGGTTTAACATTTCTCATCCGAATCACTTAAACAATGCAAATGTCCAATGGTTTGTCTCAACATTTTCATGAATATATTATTAATACTATTGAACATAATGAACTATTCAATGGTTATTGTATTGAACACCATGATAGTGTTTTGGGTTAGGTTTTAGTGGCCCAAAGCAAGGGAATGTCGCAGCCGGCAAATTATGTTGTGCAACCGTGGTGCACACGGGTCTAGATTCATAATTTCTATACTGTAGATTCATAAAATTTATACAGGAGATTCATAATTTTATAAATATATGTTCATAACTATAGAGTTATATGTTCATAATTTTTGATATTCATATTCCCAATTGTTAAACTATGTATTCACAAATCACATAACTATATGTTCATAATTTGATAACTATACAGTTTAGAAATTATGAATCTACTGTATAGAAATTATGAATCTACTGTATTTAAATTATGAATCTACAGTATAAAAATTATGAATCTACAATATAAAAATTATGAATCTAGACCTATGGTGCACACGTTGCACAGCATAACAATCCAAGGATAAATTCAACTCACTTTCTTAGTACTACTTACACTTTAGCCTGATCATAATATTATGTTTGAGTCTCTTGTAAAAATTGAGGAACCTACTAATTTTTATTTTATTTAACTGAGCTTCACCCAATTCCAAGTTGAACTCTATGTGCTCTTTGTGAATTATATTGGTCTTCTTGTTGATTTCTTCATCCGACTAAAATACAAAGACATGTTGTACTCATTACACATTTTTTAGTAAATGCATACTTTTCAATAAATCAAAGTTATTTGTACTTAGGTATCAACCTAAATACAAAAATCGAATTGGTGTTTGTTGTTTGGTTCATGTTGTACTAAGTAACACCAATAAATATTATGGAGATATTTGGTAAGTAACAGTTAGCTATAGCTGATTGGGTTAATTGTTAGTTGATTACATACAAAATGACTTTCTCAAAAAACAGATCGAAAAAAATTATTTTAAACAATTTTTTAAATTTTAGCGTTTTAGAACAATCAGCTGTTACAAAAAATTAATTATCAAATACTTATCTTTATTGTTTAACGAAATCAAACAACTAATAGTGGTCAAATAAGTTGATTACATACAAAATGACTTTCTCAAAAAATTGATTGAAAAACCCATTTTAAACAACTTTTTGAATTTTATGGCCTGTTTGGTTGGGCGTAATTTGATTATAGTTGAATTGCAATCCAGTGGAAGCCACAATTACGCCGTTTGGTTGGAGGGAATTGCAATTCCACAGAATTACAATTCCCTCCTTTTGCTGAATTGCAATTCATAGGCACCCCCTATGAATTGCAATTCGGTTGTTGTGGGAAAAGGAAAAAGGGATGAAATGACAAAAGTACCATTAATTATTACTACTATTATTATTACACAAGGACATTTTAGTCTTTATATCACTTCTTTCATTCCCTACCCAATAATTCTATTCATCCCTACCAAACAATGTAATTTGAATTCCTACTTTATTCCTACCTTATTCTTTTCCCATCGAATTGCAATTCCTTTCCACCCTAATTCCTTACTCCCAACCAAACGCCCTGTTAGCGTTTTAGAACAATAAATTGTTACAAAAAATTAATCAATCAAATACTTATATTTATTATTTAACCAAATCAAACAGCTAATAATGGTCAAATAAACTAAAATTAACTTATACTTATAAAAGAGAGCTTATACCAATTTGGTGTTTGGTTTGGCTTTTGGTATGATTTGACTATCTGCAGAATATAGAGAACTGCACACTCAAAAGTTGGTTTAGCAAAGGCAGACAATAAAAGGAGATGATTTCACTACTCAATAAACTAGTGAAGAAAGACAAAAATTTGAAGCTATTCCCCTGCCGTTTATGTCTTTTGTGTACAAGGAAAATGAAGAATACAAGGTGGCATCTGATGCGTTATTTCGCTACATATTCATTGCTCTATGAGGTTCGTAATCCAAGAACTCGGGGTTAACCTGTCCGAAAGATGCATTGTATGCATACATATCAAGAATCCTATCGTCTGTCATCTGTCCACCTTCCCTTCCTCTAAAACCTTCCATAGGCGACGCCCAGGGACCACCTTGGTTCGATATGTTAGAGCTAGAGGCTTCTTGGTTCGCGTTTTGTGGATTGTGATTTTGGGGAGAATTTCCAGTCGGCCGCTTGTTGCTGGAGGTGGCTGTTGTCAGAGATATGGAAGTCGACTGCTGCTGCTGCATTTGCTGTTGATTCTTCATAGGCGACTTTGGTCTAAGGGATTCTATTTCGGGGGTTGTCACAACAAGATGAGGTGCGTCGGGTGGTGGGTTTCTTCCTCCTCCACCCTGCCAAACTTTCCCATCCTTATCAGCGAAATTCCGCACATAAGCCTGAAAGTTTTGACATCCCATTCTCAGAATTAATGATCAATGAGTAAGTGATAAGCATGATGAATAATAGAGAAAAGCAAAGAAAGAACTAAAATTCCTCCACACGAAAATATTCAAGCTTGGCAAACCCCAGAGAACATAAAACTATGAAGCACAGCGATTAGCATATATAGTGTTAAAGAAGTTCTGCTCAGAACTGTTTACTCTTTGGGTTGAATGTTTAAATGAAAATACAATAATCATGAAAAAAGATCATATTATCTTTCTTTTTTTTTTGTCAGGCCATGAGGTGTCCTGAACAGGCCCTAACTATAGGAGACACTTTTAAGCCCGTACCATACTCAGACTAATCTCCATTCGCACCGGGCCGGCCCAATTAAGGAGCAAAGTGCTCGTCAGATTGGTTTTTCCATACGAGAGGGGGTTCGAACTCCCGACCTCTCTTAAGGGATGAGAGTGCATGGCCACTCACGCCAACCAAGCTAGTTAAGATCATATTATCTTTTTGTTTGGTTTCTATTTTCTTTGTGTATGTTGGGTCGGGGGTAGATGTTTTGCGTGTATTGGGCGGATTTTAGTTGAACTAAAAGGTCTATGACAGTCAAGCCACAAGCTCACCATATATACTACATTCTTAAATTAATCAAAACTAATTAATTAAAATGTTACTCGCTGCACTATACCTCAGCATTAAAATTCGATGAAGATAACCCTTTACCAACAGTTAACCAGCCTGTCCGAATGTTATGGTCTTCACCAAAGAGCTCAAGCCTTCTCCGGCCAAGAGCAAAATGCTCAATTATTCGGTACATATCTTCAGGCTTTGCAGTCGATCCTGCATTAAATTGGCAAAGAATGTTTTAAACGAGAACAGCTTCTGTGTAGATTCCACATGAGAGGACAGGCACAAAACAAAATGATATATGCAAGTGGCAAGGTACTTTTAGAAAATTTCAATGCAGGGAACAATATAATACAATATGAACTTAGACAAGTGCTGCCTAAGAATTGGCAGAGGATTTTAAAAAATTATACGAGTCCCCTGCTTACTGCTGCATTGCTGCTACTTCTTTGTTCTGTTTCTTACTCTTTTGACAAAACAAAAGGCGAATAGAACAAAATATAATACGGAGTAGTATTTACTTTCTCACATTCAGCTTAATAAAAGTAGCAACTATGTTTTCATCTTAAGAAAAAACAACCAGAAATCATGTTAAACAAGATTAATGTAGCTCACATTCAAGACTTGAATTTCTAGTTTAAAGGTCGTCAAAGTCAATGAGTACATACCATACGGAGGCTCCTCAGCAATAATTACATCAGTATCAATGTTGGCATGAATTATATGGCCATCTGTACTGCGACGAACAGTTCCCTTAATGCCCATCAAGCAGTGCTCCTATATCAAAATAGAAACTGGCTCACATAAGTAAATTACAAATGTGTAAGTGCACATGAAATTTAGTGGCAGAACAAAATGGGAGTCAAATATGCGCAATCAATAACAAGCTGAAAATACAGAACAGATCTGAACCTTCGAGTGCTGAAACAGAGTATGTGAATCATGGCGTAATCCCGGAGTGGCAGTGTTTTTATTTGTTTTGACCCAACATATATCTTCACACCTGCGAAATCCCCACTGCATGAAACAGATAAGAATAAATGAGAACAAATAAACAAAAGGGGAGGGATAATTAAATGGAAAGCAGAAAGAGACTCAACCCCCCATCCCCACCGAAAGAACGTAAGCAAGTAGAAAGAGGCAGCAACTCATAACCATAAAGGCATAAATCCATTTCCTCAGTCTTAATTAGGTACCTTCTTCAAACATTGACGACCCTGCTCAAGCCCAACACCATCACCAACCCAAAGGAAAATAAAAGATGGTGTATCAGCAATTGCCTGTAAGAATAACAAGGACCACTTCAACCACTATAACAGTTGTAAGAGAGAGAATTAACAGGGTCAAAGCTCATGGATCAAAGCACATGAATGTTTGGCAATCATAGCATAGCTAGCCTATCGAGGAACATGGAAAAGAAACTATAATAAATCATTAGCAGATCAGAGTACAAGGACCACGTCAAGTTATACCTCAATTTTGAGATTCATTATTTCTTCAAATTTCCAGTATTCCATATTATCAGTGACACCAGGAGCTCGATGAACATATTCCTCCCATGGTGGGTCTATAAGAATGACATCAAACTTTGTACCGAAGAACTCTGGAGAAAGCTCCTGCTCATGCAAGTCACATTTGTAATACATAGGAGCAGAAGCAGCTTTGGCCACAATTTCATCCTTCTTTTGTATGAGCTCTCGCAATTTAGGATAGTCCTCAACAACACTAGTTAACTCCAGTTCCCGGATGAAATTTTGTGGCCGCATACCAGTGTCTACAAAATTTTGGGAGTAATCATTCTGCTCTCCTCTGGAAGGAGCTTTGCCAGGTGGTGCATTAGTTCTAGGAGGAACCCAACCTCCTGGGGTTTTATCTGCTGTTTGTCCACGACCAGCTGGCATTCCAGTGTTAAAATTTGGGCTAGATACACTTGGAGGTGCGCCTCTTCCAGGACCTGGTTGATTAAAATACATCCCGGGATTTGGAGGGTTTCCTATATTAGGGGGAAACCGGAGTCCTGAAGGTCCAGGTGGGACCGCTAGCATATTCATCTCGACTCCTCGAGCTCCAGGCCATACAATAGGCGGTGAAAATGGTGGAATGAAGACACCAGGGGAAATAGGAGGAACAGGAGCAGGTGACATGTTAGAGTTCAAAGGTGGGGGCATTCCAAGTGGTCCAAAAGGTGACCCCACCATTGGCATTTGAATACCTACTTGATGGTTGTCTCTCCCTGTGGACCTACCTCGTCCCATTCTACCAAGTCTAATTCCTCTAGCACTTTGAGGACCAGATCTATTGAAGGAAGAAGGCTCCTGACTTCCATGAGGTTGTGAACCTCCACTTGAAGTTTGGCCACCAGATCCTTGATTCATCAAATCACCAGATTGGCCTCTAGATCTCTCCCCTTGAGATTCAATGTCATCTCTCCTTGAATTTAGATTTAAAGCAGTACCACCATCACCTGGTGTATCCTTAAAATCTTCACTAGATTGCCCAGATCCATAGGCATTTCTCCCCCTTTCATCACTTGAAACTGCATACTTTTCATCATCCTGAGGCAACCTGGTATCAGAATGTTGCCCGACTTCACTTTTCCTCGCAAATGTAGGTTTAGCATCATCTCTGCCATAATCAAAAGATCGAGTTTGGATCTCTATCACATCATAGTTCTCATTTGAAATTCCATATTTAGAGGAGGTTTTTACAGCTTCAGTCCTAATCCCATCTTTCCAACCCCCAGGACGAGGCCTATCATTGTCCATCCAACCCCTTCTGTTCAACTCCCACTCTCTTCCATGGTCATAAGATGAACCACCTTCTTTTGTTTCTTTGTCAGCAAAGTTGCCTTGTCTTCTCTTCCACCCATCTCTGGGACCATCACGGTCCCTGCTTCTGTCACTCCAGCCATCATCTCTTCCTTTTGATCTATCATCCTTGTAACCATCTTTTTCCTGTTCTTTCTTCCTCGAAGGAGTGCTTCTTTCATATTCCATATCAAAATTTTCTCCATCATAATAATGTTTCCCACTCTTCTCAGGTGTCCTGGACCTATTGACACTGTCTGTTTCCCGCCTATCCCTCATCCATGCAGCATCCTCTTCACGAGCAGAAGCATGCCCTTTGTTATCTTCTTCTACAGCTTCAAATCTGCCTCTCTTGCCCCTTTCATAGTCAGATCTTTTCTCCTCCCTGTTCTGTGATTTAACATCTTTGTCTTCATTTGAGTTTCTGTGACCCTCAATTATGGGGTCCACCATTTTCCCACTTCTAGTATCAAAATTTTCTATATACTCACTTTCATCAGCTTTTTTAACAGAATCTGATTCATCCCATCTTTTCCTTGAGTTACGCCCATGCTCAGAAGATCCATGATTCTTTCCTTTGCTGTTCTCCCTTCTTTCATCTGTGCCTTTATTTCTGTTTTGGGAACCATCATTATCAGAAAATTTGGAAATTGATGTCCTTCTGTCACTTTCATCAGCTCGACTATGACCTCCACCCCCAGATTTGTCCCCGTTGTTATGCTTAGTCTCAGTTTCTCCATCTTGGTACCAATTACTCAACCTCTCCAGTGTATTCTCCTCAGGCTTCTTCCTCATTGACTTAGAGCGAGACTCCTTTCTTGCATCATATTCATCCTCATCAGTATCAACTCTGCCTGAACCACCTGATCTTTTGCGACTCTCACTTTTGTCCACATTACTTCTCTTTCTTCCACTGCTATCTAAGCCCTCAGATTCTTCAGTAATGCCAGATCTCCTTGACTTGCTTGACCTGTATTTTCGTTTAGCGTCCCCTTCCCAGTCATCATCGTCATCTCTGAACATGTCAGTCTTTCCATCTAAATCATCTACATCTTGTTTCTTGTAAGTCCTTAGTCCTTCAGGTGAAGTCATTAAGAAAAAATACTCTGAAAAGTTCTCTCTTTATTGGACTAAATCCAACATAGAATATGAGTCAATTCAACTATGCCCCTACCCAATCCAACACATCATCCTGATAAGAAATTACAAAGATAATTACAAAATTGCCCAATATAAAAAATAGTTGTAGAGGAAGAAACATAATTGAACATGATCATACTGCATACACCCCCCACCCATGACTCGGGTAAAAAATCATTTAAAAACAAAAGATTGGGAAACAATCTATCATCTTTCTAAAGCATGCTTTGTCAAACAAGAAAATGTCAATGAAATCTATTGTCTATTGTACACAAAAATTCAAGAACATTAACAAATGAGTAATTGTGGCCTAATAAGCTATTTATGCCCATTAGTGAATCAACAAAAAAAAAAAAAGGAACCCCAGCTCTGACAAATATAGACAATCGCAAACCCAATACCAGATTCAAAAAGATGCTAGACCTATAAAATGGGAAAAAATCTACAAAAATGAATTTAAAAGCAAAACAAGCAGATGCAAATAATCTGAGACACTATTGTTTGCTGGAAAATTTAACAGGGGGAGAAAGCATCTAATGGCAGAGAATAGAGAGGAGAGGTGGAGGTGTACTGGGGTGGAGGAGAACGGAAAGCATCATTTGCCAGTGCTGCCGTGCACGGTCCAGTGGACTGCTACTCACCTACTCTAGCACTCTGTGTCTCGCCGCTTGAAGGAGAAGTGGAGAACTAGAGAAGTAATGTCTCTGCCTTTTAGGTATTAGGGTTTTTTAAAACTAGAATTTTTAACATATATTTTTAAAAATAAAATAAATATCGAGGAACTAATAATATATCATTTTTTCTTTTTTATTTATGTTGAGTGGTTGTTGGGCCAGGGAGTTCCAGGCTGCATAACTGAAACTAAAGAAAACCTAAAGAGAGAGATTTTGATGACCAGAATGAATGCAAATTAAATCAGATTGGCAACACTAGAGCAGTAGAAGCTAAGTGGACTTCAAAAAATTCAACAACACTACATTCCAAAAACTAACTAGATTCAAATCTAGTAACTTAAAATGTAAGGGATAAACAAAATCACAGAGAAACTTTTTTTTAAAAAAATCACAAGTTATTAGCAACTATAATGTGCAAATATAACATATTTCTACGAATGGGGAACAAAAAAGTACCACAAAATTGAACACGATCAGAATGAAATGCAAATTAAGACAAATTGACAACACTATGCAGTAGACCCTGAGCATACCTCAACAAAACAGTCAATAACACAGCATTTGAAACAACTGACTAATTTCAAACCAAGTAACCTAAAATGCAGGGATTAACAAAACAAAAAGACAATTTTTTAAAAAAATCATAAGATTTACCAACTATAATGAGCAAATAACTTCAAAACAACTAAACAAAAATCAATTTTTCCACTGGAGAAATAAAAGAGACACCAACTTCCCTACTTCTTCTGCTCATGAAGATACAATAACACCGCATTTCAAACGCTAACTAGTTTCAACCCTAAGAACCGAAATTAACATATTTCTACCACGAATTTGAAATTAATTAGTTAACCATGTTTCTTCAATTTGAAGCAGTCCAAGAATATAAAAATCGTTTTCACACTCTCCCAAGTCCCAATCAAATTCAGAAAGAAAGACTGAGACAAGCATATGGATATCATTTATGTGCACAGTATTCACTATTTACAGGCAGTTGAAGAAAAAGCAGATACAGAGACTTACAGACTGGAAGTGGCGTAGCGGCGGAGCAACTCCGTTCGCCGGAGGATGGCGGAAGAAGACGACGGTGAGGGACAAAAGTTGAATCGTCGGTGAGAAAGTGGTTAATATTAGGCGGAGGCAATGGGAAAGAGGGAAGTCCGAATCGGAACTAGGTCTATTAGTCTATAGGGTATAATGGGGATATCGGAGTTTATGGGAGGGCATTGTCGGTGACTACAAATATGAGAGGCAGGTGCTCTATGGAGTTGTACCATGTGATTAGATAACTGTACCTTTCTCATTTGCCCTCATGGTTGTTGAGAAAAAAAAACCAAACAAATATCTACTCCATTGCTCATTGGGCATTTTTTGTGTTTGTTTCCTTCGAAGTTTTCATATCATTTTCCTTTTTAGGAGTAAAACATGATTCTAGTATAAAAAAAAATTACAAATTCAATTATTATAATATTTTTTTATTTAAAACAGTTGTATAAACTTTTTTTATTGTAATTTATCAAAATTTATTCAATACATATCCTTAAATAATAGTTATGAATTTTCTCGTTGTCTATAAAAACATGTTTCAATATATTCTTTACATTATTTGTAGAGGTTATGTTTGTTTTCTTTACATAATTTACGTTTACGTATACAAAATTTAAAATTTACAATTTTATTTTATTTCTGAGTATAATATTATATTCTTAGGGGGTGTATTCAATCATGACTCTTGTAGACTTTTAAAGACTTTTAAAATGATAAATTTTAATAAATTTTGAATGACTTTCATAAAGTCGTTCAAAACTTTTTTAAAACTTTTGAAGACTCTATAAAAGTCTATATAAAATACATTTATAAACTTTTACCAACTTTTTTATTTTTAAAAGTCACAAAAATCATTGAAATTATAAATTGAATACATCCTTATAAACTTTCAATGATTTATATTCTTATCATTTATAATTTTCTTACAAAACATGTTATAATATATTATAAAATTCTTCTTATTATATACGGAGTAGTTCTTTACCCAAATGGTTGTTACGGATAACAGTTCGCTATTCGTAGTAACTTGTTGTTATAATATATATATATATATATATATATATATATATAAACATAAAAAGAATAAATCAAAATATATAAATATTTGTATGAATATTATGAAACATATAGTAAAATTTGACGATGATAGGTGAAAAATTTGCTTTGACATGTATTTAGGGAGAATTAGAGAAAGTTTAGAAGTTACGGAGAAAAGTTCGTAGGGAAAGTTTAGAAGTTATGGATAAAAAGTTCGTAGAAAAAAAAAATCAAAATAAACAAGCAATAATGAAGTAAAAATAATATTATTTCGAATTTTAGAAGAAGATTGTGAAGTTTAGGAGAGATAAAAATTTGGTATATAGGATAATGAAGAAAAAACAATTTATTGAATTTAGGTATAAGGTTTATAAAGTTTAAATAGAAAGAGAAAACATTCAAAGTTGGTAGAAAGAAAATTTTGAAATCTTGGGGTTGATGGTTGGATTTCAACTATTTATATTGTAGAAGGGAAAAGTCTACAAAAGTCATAAAATTAAAAAGTCTACAAAAGTTCATAACTATTTAGCCCTCTTAAAAATGAAGAAATTTTACTCCGGTAGAATTTTGACGGGAAAATGGCCGGAAGGACCATTTTTGCCAAAAAAACAATAGTCGTGGACTAAAATTGCAAGGTCTGAAAGTCGTGGATCAATTCTGATAGTGCCACTATACTCGTGGGACCAAAAGTGCAAAAAACTCAAAGTTTGAATTAAATACCTCCAAACTTTTAAAATTTATAAAAGTTTTTAAAAGTTTATGAAAGTCATGATTGAAAGTTATTAGAAGAAATTTCAATTTTGGTCATATGACTATATGGGTCTTGTTAATTTCAGTCCATGATTTTCAAAAGTGTTAATTTAGTACCTTAACTATGCATTTTTTGTCAATTTTAGTCACTCCGGCCAAATTGCCGGTCAAATTTCATCGGAATATTTTAATAGTTAAAATAATGATGATATTTTGGTCGTTTCACGCCTCTTTTCTTCTTCTCCGGCGAGTCCATCTCTTTATCTCCTGTTTCCGCCGTTCTTTCTCCCTCTAAACCCTATCTTTAATATCATCAAGCCTTCTTTCCCCATCATCTTAGTTTATTGCATTCACTGGAAACGGGAGAGGAAGGGATGGACTCGCCTGGGAAGAAGAAAAGAGACATGAAATAATCAAAATACCCTTATTATTTTAACAATTAAAATTTTCTAGCGACATTTGGCCGGCAATTTGACCGGAGTGACCAAAATTGACAAAAATTGCATAGTTAAGATACTAAATTGACACTTTTAAAAGTCAAGGACTGAAATTAACAAGACCCCTATAGTCATATGACCAAAATTGAAATTTCCTCAAGTTATTATTCATATTGTTAGAAATATAGTTAGGAATAAATTAATTTAGTTATGTAATTTTCTCTATAAAATTGTTTAAATATGTAAATGATAAGTGATTATATTAATAATACAAAATTATAATTTTAATTTTGTATGTTATAAAAATAGATATTTGATCAAATATATGAAAGTCTAACTATATTATTATATTTTCTTTTTAAAAAATATTTATTTATTTTAGTACTATTGACTCTATTTTGATGTAATATGTAATATTTCCTTAAGGAGAGTCACATAAGTGCCAACTGAGCACAACACAAAATGCTTGACAATTTTTTTTTAAAATTTAAATTCATAATAACAAAAAAAAAAAAAAAAAAAAATTCGTATATCGCGCGAGTAAAACACTAGTTTCAAATAAACTATTAGTTATATTTGATAAATGAATATGAGTTTAAAATAAATTATTGTATAAATTATTGTTTCAGAAACACTATAATGATGTTACAAAAGTTGTATGCGCTTGATATAATTGCATATTCCTTCCCTTGTTTCATAAATAAAGCATATAGTACAATTTCACCCCCCCCCCCCCCCAAAAAAAAAAAAAAAAAAAAAAAAAAAAACAAACAAAAAAACGTACAGACATATAGTACAATTTCACAAAAAGATACAAATCACTGCATAGGATGGTGCAAAATCCGTCCAACCCAAACCTACTGATAGGAAATTTATCCCGGGTTCAGGCTCCCCGTACGCTCCGCGCTCCTATTTGGATCGGGTCAAACGGTTCGGGTCAAGGTCAAACCCAACTTGATTTGACATATAAATAGGGCCTTAGCCCTCCAAGTTAGGGGCCTCCCCTTCACTTCCACTACACACTCTCTCTAGCTAGGAATCTTCCTTCTCTCTATAGGCATAGAAGAACACATGAATAAAAGAAGCATATTTTCTATATCTCTTCTTCCTTGTTCATACACGTATTCCCGGTCTCGTCTTCGTTAGACCATCGGGTCTCCAAGTGTCCCTCCGCCTGGGACTTTCAATTCATAAACCGAGCCCATCCCGCTATCGTTAGACCACCGAGTCTCCTAGTGTTAAGTCATAGAAAGTTCGATCCCCAAATCATAAATAAATCTGACCTTCCAGTCGTACCCAGCAACCCAGTCGGTAGACTGGTAAAGTTGACCTCTAGATCGCAGTTAACCCGATCTCCCGATCTTAGCTGGCTTATGGCCGCTCGATCGGTAAAGATTCGACCTAGCGAATCATGTTGCCAAACCGACCCCTAAGTCGGGCAACCCCTTAAAATGTTCCCATTCATGGATTTCCACAACGATGCGGAAGCTGAGGAGAGCACTTCTGACCTCCGCTCATAGATGAATCCACGGGTGGATCTCAATACACCACCGGGAAGGGGACCGACTCCGGATCCTGTCAACTTCATTCAACCGGGGCTGGCATTCCCGGCCATGGCAGGACAGATGTCATTCCAGTACCCGATGTACCCCGCTGGGATGCTTGATCCTACCTTCCCGTATTGGCAAAGCCCCCAACGGTTCTTCGGAGCTCAATATCAGTACCCCCCGGCACCGGGCATCTACCAACCGTACGTGCCGATGCCAGTACCGAATGCGCCCGAACACAACCAGTCAGAGGCATCAGCACCGGCGGCGACTCCTGAGCTTCGTCGCGCCCAATCCGAGCGGCGACCCACCCGTTCAAGGCTTGGACCGGCGGGTGCACTCGAGCAGAGGGTTGAGGAAGTCCCTGCGAGAACCAGCGCATTCGTGCGCCTTCAACCGTCAGTACACCACCGGGTCGAAGCCCGACAGGAGGTGGAGGAATATGTAAATGCCCCACTTACCAGCCAAAGAGAGGGGTCGGGTGAGGCCAGTAGTTGCCGATCCAGAAGGCTGGCAAGACGAGCCGTCGACCGTGATGATCCGAAAAACGAAGCTAAAGGACTGCTACGACAAGTCCGGGAAAAATTCAATAAGTGGAAACAAGAGCACGACCACCGGTCGGCTAAAACCGAAGCACCGCTACTACGCAATCCGTTCACGGCTGACATTATGAGCCTGTCGTACCCCCACGACTTGCGTATCCCGGGAAACACGGGTTACGACGGGAAAAGCGACCCGGAAGCCCACATCAACTCCTACTACAGTAACATGCTGATGATGGGAGTGACCGACGCAGTAATGTGTCGGGCCTTCTATTCCACCTTGACCGGGAGGGTGGCAGATTGGTTTAAAACACTGGAACCCGGATCGATCGCATGCTTTGCCGAATTGGCGAAGAAATTCGTGCACAAGTTCGCGACGTCTAAGGAGGTGCGAAAGCACTTCACGTACCTTGAGAAGGCTAAGCAGTTGGAAGGCGAATCTTTGACAGACTTCTAAGTCAAGTGGAAGGCCGCGATTGGGGAAGTCGAGCCGCTGGATGACCGTACGGCGATAAACGTACTCCACTCCAATCTACGAGCAGGAGCCCTATACCAGGAATTCATCCTGCACATACCGACCACCTATGACGAAGCCATTCGTCGGGTCACCGATTATGCCAATGCCGGCGAAGCGAACTTGGCTAAACGACAGCAGGAGGCTGGGGGTAGCAGGAAGTCGCAGGGCCGTCAGGAAGAAGGTCGGCAGAATGATAGATCCGGCAGAGGTCGGGGTAGGTTACCCGACTTCACGCCATTTAATAGACCAGCGATTGACGTTCTCTGGTTCGTACAATCGTGCAATATGGTCCAGCTCCCAGAGCCTCAGAGGGAGGGTCGTGATAAGACAAAGTATTGCGCCTATCATCGTAGTAAGGGACACGAAACGGAGGATTGCACCACTCTAAGACAGGTGATATAGGACTTGCTACAATCAGGCAAACTCACCGAGTTTACCATAAAGAAAGAAAAAAAAATCTTTTTGGAAGAACCCCTTCAAGAAATCGAATAAGAACAAGAAGGATAAGGATCACGATCGAGATCCCGATTCACACCCCCCATCAGGAAAGCAGGTTATTCATGTCATATTCGGGGGTCCCGAGAGCGCCTCCCGGTTGGACTCATAGGGTCGGAAACCGGGGATAAAAGGCAGAAGCTGGAACCGATCACATTTACCCCGAATGACATGCCCGAGGGCGAGGATTGTAACGCTGAGGCGTTGGTGGTCACGATCGATATCATGGGAACGGATGTGCACAGGTCATGATTGACACGGGCAGCAGTGTGAACGTCTTGTATATAGATGTCTTTCAGGAACTCATGCTTGACCCGATGGAGCTTACCCCGTTCGGAACCCCTCTGTCCGGTTTCACTGGCGACACCATTCATCCTGAAGGAAAGATAGCACTACTGGTAGAGATCGGCAGTCACCCCCAGGTTGTAAAAACTGCGATTGAATTTATCGCCGTTAACCTGCAGTGCGTCCATAACGCCATCCTAGGGCGACCGGCAATTGTTTCGATTGGGAGAATCATCTCCATGCCCCATCTGTGCATGAAGTATCCAACCCTGGAGGGAGTTGGCATTGTTCGGGGCGATATTCGGTCAGCCAGGAAGTGTTACCGTAAAGCGGTGGATCGGAAGGAAGCATGGAACTCCCAAGTGTCCCTCCGCCTAGGACTTTCAAATCGCAAACCGAGCGCATCTCGCTATCGTTAGACCACCGGGTCTCCTAGTGTTAAGTCATAGAAAGTTTGATCCCTAAATTGCAAATAAATCCGACCTCCCAGTCTTACCCAGCAACCCGGTCGGTACACCGGTAAAGTAGACCTCTAGATCGTATCGTAGCTAACCCGATCTCCCGATCTTAGCTAGCTTCTTGGCCGCTTGATCGGTAAAGATTTGACCTCGAAACGTGTTGCAAAATCGACCCCTAGGTCGGGCAAACCCCTTTTTTCGTCCACCAGACTACGTTTAGCGTTGTGCTCTTCTCCTTAGCTAAAATTTTTTCCCACTGGGTTTTTTATTAGCTTAAGGTTTTTAACGAGGCAACCGGCGTCAGTCACGGACCGTATGAACAGTTTTCCAGCCTGAACCCTTCCTCGCTAACTCATCGTCAGGGCACGAACTGGGGGGACTTCGTGATGGGGAATATACCCTGGGTTCAGGCTCCCCATACGCTCTGTGCTCCTACTTGGGTCGGGACATACGATTCGGATAAGGGTCAACGGATCAACGCCACATCATGCATGACAGATTATATTGGCCCCAGGAGTACATATTATTTTTAAGGTTTGATCCAGCAGAAACAAGGAAAAACTAAATTGGGCTTTTTGCCCTATTGGCTGAATCAGGCTTGGAGTCCATTCCATTTGAATTACAAATTCAATTTGGAGCAGTAAAATGAAGTCAAAGCCGCAAACATTAGAATTTATAAATTTGTAATCTAATTTTAGATTGTAAAAATTGTATAGGTCATACCTTGTATCGTAGAAAATTGTAATAGCACAATTAAATGTTTTAAGTCCGGTTAGGTTGGTATTTCCACCACCGGCGCCTAGAGCCCAGTCAGGTCAGCTTCGCCACCACCGGCATTGTTAAGCTCGGGAAAAGTCCTGGCACCAAGCCCTACTAAGTAGGTAATTCTAGTCTCCAGACCCGCGAGGACAAAAGCCCAACCGCAAGTCACCCAAACCGTCTAGAATTGAACCAACATCCGACCGCAAAGTCGCTTAAACTTCCCCGGTTTTATTATCGAACGACCACAATGTCGTTAATCTTTCCGGCCTTGTTGCCCAAACGACCGCAATGTCGTTAAACTTTCCGGCCTTGTTGCCCAAATGGCCACAATGTCGCTTAAACTTTCCGGCCTTGTTGCCCAAACGACCACAATGTCGCTTAAACTTTCTGGCCTTGTTGCCCAAACGACTACAATGTCGATTAAACTTTCCGGCATTGTTGCCCAAACGATCGCAAAGTCGCTAAAACTAATTCGGCTTTATTGCCCAACCGACTGCAACGTCGCTAAAACTAACTCGGCTTTATAGCCCAAACGACCGCAAAGTCGCTTAAACTTCTCTTGGCTTTCTAGACGGTGACGACCGCAACGTCGCGTAAACTTCAAATTCCGATTCAGTACCGATCAGGGCCCAAGCCTGACCTACCGACCTTAGTGTTGAAAAAGCTTTATGTCTCGGCTCATACCGGGTGTATGAGTTAGTTGTGTGCTAAGTCCGGTTAGGTTGGCATTGCCACCACCGACGTTTTAAGTCCGGTTAGGTCGACATTGCCACCACCAGCGCAGCTAGCCGAGATCACGTCTTGGCTTCAATCCCTACACGCTAAGCACTTTTTGACCGGTTAGGTTGGCCTCGCCACCATCGGCGTTTTAAAGACCAGTTAGGTAGGCATTGCCACCACTGGCGCTCTAAGTCCGGTCCGGTCGGCATCATTGCCACCACCGACGCTTTAAGTCCGGTTAGGTTGGCATTGCCATCACCGGCCCAATTAGTTTGATATCGTATCTCAGCTTTAAACCCTACGAGGTAGGCATTTCTTTAGACCGGTTAGGTTGGCCTCGCCACCACCGGCCTAGTCAGCTCGAGACCATGTCTCGACTTTAAACCCAACGTCAGCAACATATAAACCCTCTACCCTGTTAGAGGTCCGATCAATTGATCGGTCAGGTCAGACAACCGGTGGTACACCGGCGCTTTGAGCCTGATCGGGCCACTTCCCGATTGCAATCAAAGTTAGAAGGCGAACTCGAGAACCCATCGTATCTACTCCCTTATGCTGACGATTCTCGCACCTAAGGGAGTGGGGGGGGGGGAAGGGGGGGTTACACGGGTAGAGTAGCTCGTGCGCTAAAGTATTTCCCGAGTAGATCGGTCGAGTAGCATGCAAACCCTCTATCATACTAGAGATCCAGTCTATTGATCGGTAAATCCAAACTTCATAAATCCTCCAAATCCTACAAGTTAGGCAAACCGACCGTTGATACCCTAAGTATAGTTTGATGCATCGACATCGTGAGTTCAGTCGGGTCATTTACCGATCGCAATTAAAGTTGCAAAGCAAACTCGGGAAACTATCGTATATACTCTCTTATGTTGAGGACTCTCGCAACTAAGGGAGTGAAGGGCTACACCGGTAGTAGCTCGTCGCGCTCCCGCGTAGATCGACCTTCCCGGTCTCCTAGTGTTAAGTCATAGAAAGTTCGATCCCCAAATCGCAAATAAATCCGACCTCCCAGTCGTACCTAGAAACTCGGTCGGTAGACCGGTAAAGTAGACCTCTAGATCGCAGCTAACCCGATCTCCCGATCTTAGCTAGCTTCTCGGCCGTTCGTCCGGTAAAGGTTCGACCTCTCGAATCATGTTGCAAAACCGACCCCTAGGTCGGGCAACTCTCTTTTTTAGTCCACCAGACTGCGTTTGGAGTTGTGCTCTTTTTTCCTTAGCTAAAGTTTTTTCCCATTGGGTTTTTTATTAGCTTAAAGATTTTAACGAGACAACCGGCATAAGTCATGGATCGTATAATAAGTTTTCCAGCCCGAACCCTTCCTCGCTAACTCATCGTCAGGGCACGGACTGGGGGGGCTTCATGATAGGAAATATACCCCGAGTTCAGGCTCCCTGTACGCTCCGTGCTCCTATTTGGGTCGGGTCAAACAGTTCGGGTCAATGTCAAACCCAACTTGGTTTGACCTATAAATAGGGCCTTAGCCCTCCAAGTTAGGGGCCTCCCCTTCACTTCCATTACACACTCTCTCTAGCTAGGGCTCTTCCTTCACTCTAGAGGCATAGAAGAACAACATGAGTAAAAGACCTCTTGAGCTATATTCTTCTTGTGTACATACATTGTTCATACCTATCACCTACGGTACATACATCCTATTACACGGGAATTAGTATTATCACCTACATTCGTCAAACGGAAGGGATATCCGAACTTATCCAAAACCCAAAGTTATATATGTATACGTGTGTGGGTGTGTGAAAACGATGCAGCGGTGGGCTTTGGTGGATGAAAGGCGGAGAGAGGAGGCGTAAACCAAGAGAATCATTGAGAGTAGTATCTTGTTGCCATGTTGCATTATTATGTTTTCCATTTTGACACTCACAGTCGTTCTTCTTTCATTTCCTGCACATTCACCGATAGTGGACACTAAGAAAAAGAGGAAGAAGAAAGCAAGCTAATGAAATGACCATTTTAGCCCCTACACTAACGCCTAACAAACTGAAAGTTGACGGAAGGACCAATACTGAAACAAATCTAATAGTCAAGGGTCTATTATGTCCAAATTAAAAAACGAGGACTAATTTTAAAAAATTGCAATAATTGAAAGACCATTGCTTGAATCTATATATATATATATATATATATATATATATATATATATATATATATATATATATATATATATATATAAAAGTAAAATCCTCCTAACAAATTTTCCTCCCAAAACTTTTGTAGTAAAACTTATTTGGTAAGTAAATGTCAAATGGAAATTAAATAAAATCTCTTAATTGGTAATATTATATATGGTATTATATTCTATAATATAATATAATTGATAATATTATTGTTCAAGTATAAAATAAAATTAAAATAACAACAACAACAACAACAACAACAACAACAACAAGAATAATAATAATAATAATAATAATAATAATAATAATAATAATAATAATAATAATAATCCAAACCAAACTATATACAAAATAAAATTAAAATTAAAATTTTTTTTAAAAAAAAAAAAAGAAGAAGACAAAGGTGGCTCCCATTAGTAAATGATGTGGGATCATTTTGATCCCACATTGAAAATGTTTAGAAATAGGAGCTCTAGATCTCCTCTATATAAGAGAAGCAATGCTCTTCTTACAACCACACAATTGCTTGCCCATCAATGTGGGCAAGTATTGAGAAGTCCAAAGGCTTTTTATAGTACTATTATTGACTCGACAAATTATGTTGTGGAAATGTGTTCACCTTGCAAGGTAGATATGGTTCAAAAATAGTTCATAATTATGAATATAATAATAAATATATAGTTCAAAAATTATGAACATATAGTTCTATAATTATGAACATAGTGTTGTGAACATAATTATGAACACATAGTTATCTAATTATGAATATAGAGATTCAATAATTATGAATATATATTTTTATAATTATGAACATATAATTCAATAATTATGAACATAGAGTTCTATAATTATGAATATAGAGTTCAATAATTTTGAATATGAAGTTCAAAGATTATGAATATATAACTTTAAAATAATGAACTTATAGTTTAGTATTTATGAACATAGAAATGCAAGGTGGACACGGTTCCACAATCTATTAAAACTCAACGTGTCAAATGGCTCTTATATAAAAAAACTTATCTTAACCAAAAATGTATATGAGTTGTTTTAGTTTTTAGCCGTTTCAAGCAAATTGTTAAGTTATTAAATAATATTTTTGGTGTTTTGATAAATATAAAATGTTAAACAGACGAATTTCTTAAAATTCTAACGAATTTGCCAAAAAATCAAATAACAATAACAACAACAACAATAATAATAATCCAAACAAAAATATATACAAAATAAAATTAAAATTAAAAAGAAAAAAGAAAAAAAAATAGACAAAGGGGAGTCACGGGCTCCCTTTGTAAATGATTTTGAGATCATTTTTATCCCACATTGAATGATTGAAAAGAG